GGTTCATATTGAGCTCATTTCAGGTTTTAGACCGAATGGTCTTTTCTGCTTTCTTTCGTTCTACTATATAGGTGGGTCTTAGGTTCCCTTGAATCTGTTTTTTTCCTTAAGACTGCCTACTGCTGACTCTTTCTCCCTTGGGCTTTCATGTCCAGCGTCCCACAGTCTTTGCTAAATCAGGTCAGGCCTACTTGGCCTGGAGATACCTGAGTACAGCCACTCCATAGCATTGATGGATATAGAGACTGGAGAAGAAAACTATACCTAAAGGAGGGGAGAGGAGTCATGAATGCATGCATTTCAGTCAGACTAAAGTTTCAGTATTTGTCCTTTTACTGACACCTCCCCAGGGTCCTAACCATAATGGGACTCTATGGGGCTTGGCTCCTAGTGGAAAGTTCCCTTTCCAGTTACTTATGAGGTGTAACATTTTTATGTGTCCCATAACAGTATAACTAACTAAATGTGGGCTTATGCTGCCTCTATTTCTCCTTTCCCCCACCCCCAGTTTACATTCCAAAGAAAGCAGCCTCTAAGAGTCGCCCCCCACGCCGTCGCCAACGCCAACCACCTCGCCCTTCAGCCCCCGAAGCACCCAAGGAGATCCCACCAGAAGCCGTGAAGCAGTATGCTGACATCATGGCTGGGCTGGTAGGGGTCCCCCATGCTGCCAGTGGGAAGGCAGAGGGGAAACAGGAAGAGGAAGAAGAAGAAGAGGATGAAGAAGAGGAGGCTTATCCTGATCCGGGTCTGCTTAGTTACATTGAGGAGCTATGTGCTCAGGATGTCTTTGTCTCCAAGGTGAGGATATGCCTGGAAGGAAGGGCTCTTGCCCTGGCTCCTGGTGGGAGACCCTTGGAATCCCAAAATTTGGGTGGTTGTTTTTTGTTTTTTCTTTTGGTTTTGTTTCTTGCCCAAGAGGAGATAAAACAAGGAGCTGGGTCCTATTACCTAGCTTCAGATGAGAACTCGGGAGTGAGCAGGAATAGCTGAGGCCACATGATATGCTCCTTAGAGATCCTCTTGGCTGCCTGGTCCCCCCTTGTTCCCTGACCTGTGCCTCAAACCCATCTTCCTTCTCTTCAAGCTACCTTGGAGCAGGTAGATGGTGCTGTGGGTAAGAGAGCTTGACTTGGAGCCTGGAAAATCTGAGTTCAAATCCTATTTAAGACACTTATTATCTGAGTGACCCTGGGAGAGTCACTTAACCTCTGTCTACCTCAGTTTCCTAATCTGTAAAATGGAGATCATGATAGCACTTACTTCACTGGGTTGTTGTGAAGATCAAATAAGATAACGTTGTATGGTGCTTTGCAAACCTCAAAGCCCTATGTAAATGCTAATTATTTTTTTCCTTTCCCTCAGGTGGAGGCTGTGATTCACCCTAGGTTTTTGGCAGAGGTATTGTCCCCAGAGCAACAGAGGGATCCCTTGGCCCTAAGTGAGGAACTAGAACAGGAAGAGGGACTCACTCCCACTCAGGTAAATGATGGGAGGGGGGGAGGAGGGATTAGGAGAGAGAGCCAAGAGGGAAACCCCATGAACTTGTCCAAACCCTGCTCTGCTAGAATAGAGTTGTCTGAGATGAGCAGTTCTAGCTCTGACATGCAGGTGCAGGTGAAGAGGGCTTATAGCTTCTAATTTTAAGCTGTTGCCCACATCACTAGCTCTCCTTCATTCTCCTACCCCTCTCCCCTTATCACCAAAAGCAGAGATGGAAGTTTTCCTCTTTTTTGTCTTAGCTAGTGCAGAAGCGGCTGTTGGCACTGGAAGAGGAGGATGAAGAGGAGCCCCCAAGCTGTAGTGGCGCCCAATCAGACTCCAGTCCTTCTCCATCTGATGAGGAAGAAGATGGGGGTGGGCGGCTTCGACCCTCACCTGGGGCTTGTATGGCTGGGGGCATTGTCCGCTTGGGGCAGACAGCTTCTCCAGGAAAACGGGCAAGGGGAGAAGGTCATGGTGGGCAGCAGGACAGGGCAGCAGAGGGCCCAAGGGGACTAGGAAGGGATGGTAATACTTTGCCATCCCCCAGTAGCTGGGACCTTCGGCTAGAGATCTCTGCTTCACTGGTGACTAGGGGCCTTTTAGGGATGGAGGGCAGAGGGTCTGGGAAGGGCACCACCCTGGTGTCTTTATATCAGGAAGGCCACTCAGGGGTGCCTGGAGACCAAGGGGACCATTTAGTGACTGAGGGGATTCTAGAATCCTCTTCCCACAGCTGGCAGAAAGGACCTCATTTGGAGGGAGCCACCCATTTGGAGGCTGGACCTCCAGAACCAGTTGACTTCACTACTTCTCCACAAGGTCAGGGAATGGGACAAGTCATAGGTCTCAGGAAGGGATGCCAGCTGACAGGTCTTGGGATGCTTCCTCAAGGGAAGGAGTCATCTTCAGCTGCTCCCCAGGAAGAAACTGTGGTGGGGACTTCTTGGAGAGATGATGGAGAAGCTCCCATAATCAAAGGCTTTGGCCAGAGCCCCTCCTCCAGAGCAGTTGGGGATAGGGAGAGGACCCCATTCAGTTCAGCCCCTTGGGTGAGTAGCAAGGGGGACTCCACAAATTTGGAACTGGTCCCAGGACAGACTGAGGGGATCAGAGAAATATCTCGGAATGTGGATTCTCAGGAAGGCTGTCATACTCCAGGAACTCAAAGCCACATTTCTTCCTTGGGGCATAAAGGAAGTATTCCACTTGAGGACACAGAAAAAAATGTGGCCTCTTCTGGGGACAAGGATGACACACCTCCCCTAGAAAATGGTAACTACTGTAGCCTTTCAGAGCTTCTGAGGGCCAACAGCCCTGTCTTAGGGATTGGAGGACACATCCCTGGAAATGGAGGGGAGCTTAGTGATTTGTGTCCTGGAGGTAACTCCTTAATAATAGAGGGCAAAAATGGTGCCTCCAACCTGGGGTCTGCCAAAAACACTCTCTCCTCTAGATGTCCAGACCATGACCTACTCTTGGGGTCTGTAGAAAGTTCCTCCTTTCCAGGGATGAGGCATGATGTTAGTATAACAGAAAGTAAAGGAAACTCAGGTTCCCCTCTTCTGGGAACCACTGAGAATGGCAATTTACTGGCTATCAGAGATGACCATGACCTCCAATTAGTTATTGGAGTTAACTCTAGTTCACCAAAAGGCAAATGTTATGAATGCCAAAGAGAGAGCAGAGAGGATTTTGGCCTACCAAAGTTCAAAGACACAAGTCCCTTATCAGAAACCAAGGATGACTGTAACACAGAATGCCAACAACCAGCCTCACCTAACCAGTGTCTTGGGTACACACCCCCAACTCTGAAAACTAGGGACCCTTTGGCTCTTGGAGAAGCCTCTTCTCCAGGAGAGGAAACCCATGGACCCATAGATAGGGTTGGCAAAGAACAAGAGGAGGAAGCTGAGGATGAGGAACTTTCTAACTTTGCTTTTCTCTTGGCCTCTAAACTTAGTCTGTCTTCCCGGGGGCTGCCCCTCAGTCTTCTACCTGCCTCTACAGTGGTTAGGGGACGTAGACGAGCATCCCGCTCACTGTCTCCAGAGGTTTTAGGCCTTAGCCAACTTCTGTCACCCATACCCAAGTCTGGGAAACGCTCTCTGGGTGGTGGTCTGTCTCCTGTAGACAAAAGGCCCTGCCTGGTGGGTGAAGTGGGTGTCTCTGGGGAACTGTCCTTGAATTTGGGGGAAGCACGGACTTCACAGTCCCGAAAGAGATGCCATGAGGGTTATGTTCCTGGGAGGAGAAAGAAGCGAAGGCGGAGCTTACAGGGGACAGCCAAATCATCCTACCCTTGACGAGTAATTCCCCAGGGGTGGGATCCTCAGAGTTGATCTGGGCCCTGTGGCACTCAAAGCTCTTTAATCTCTCAGCCATTCCTTTCTGTTGTTCTATAAACATGGTGAGGTTTGGGGGAGATCAGCAACTGACCTGGATGGAGATGACCACCTCAGTGAGAAGTAAGATGTGAGAGGACCCTTGGAGGGAGTTTTATGAGAAAGTGAATTAAAGACATCCCTGTTGGAAATGGTCTCAGTGAATCTTTCCTTTGTTCTTACTGTCTTTGCTGCCAGGCGAACTGAGGCAGAGTAGAGGAAGGGAGGAGACATCATGGGTGGATCCCAGGTTCTATGTGTTCAGAGAGGATGTGGGGTCCTGTCCTCCAGCCTCATGCTCTCTCCCTGCAGCCATCATCAGGAGAGAATAGGTTGGCTTCCATGTCCACCTCCTGGGTTTGATAGGGTTCTTCAGATATTTCATCCATCCCCTTTCCCAACCCCTGACAGATGACAGCCCTATGCTGAGATAGCTCTAAGAGGAGTCAGCTGGCCTCACTGCAACATCTGTCTCCATGTCTCACAACTCTCATCAATGGTAAGTCCTCTTTGGTATCAACCTCTACCTGACCTATTGACATTTAACCAATTTCCTCTAAGCTATCCCAAATGGAATGTGTTTTATGTCCCTTCCTCTCACCCCTATAGGGCCCCAGGAAGAAGCTGGGCAGAGGGTTCCTATAGAATGCCCACCATTAATATCCACAGGCATACAGCACCTCACTGGGTTTAGGAGCAACTCTTGGTTCAAGGGCTCTCATCCTCTGCCTTTCCTTTTCCTCTCCAAAGGTGTCAGCTGTGCTGGGGTGAGCAGTCATTCTCCATATTTAGTGATAGAACAGGAATTGGGCAGAAAGGATAGTGTGTGTGTGTGTGTGTGTGTGTGTGTGTGAGACAGAGAGACATCAGTAATGATGTGTATGTAACAGTGGCAGGGAGAGGAGAATAGGGTATGTAGTCTTAAAGTAGAGTATCTTGTCCATCTGGAATTAAGAAAGAACCATTCTGGTTGCATCTTGGATAACCTTTGGAAGGCCCAGCCTAGCCATCCTCAGATATTTGGAATACTCAAATGATCAACCCAACCGCCAAACCTCCAAACACTTATGCCATTGATATGGTTGAGCTTCGTGTTTTTTTTTTTTTAATAGATATAGATATAGATTTATATTTATATATAAAATAGTTTTTTACAAAAAAACCAAAACCAACTTAAAAAAACAAAACAAAACCAGGAGTCACATGAACAGAGATGGAGGCATGGGCTAGTCCCCCGGTGCTGCCCTGAGTCTGAGGGGCTGGGATCGAGCTAGGAATAAAGGGGTGTAGAGGGGGCCAGGATTCTCAGTCGTTTTTCGGCTTGGAGGTGTTCACAGTCCCATTGGACGTTGGGGTAGGGATACCGTGAGATGTGGCCTCTAGGGCTTTGGGGTTGGCCCGAAGGGTATATGGGGGGCGTAGGTAGGTGCTGAAGAGTTTTCCATAGAGTGGGTCGTGCAGGGAGAAATTCTGGAACTGGCCTAGTGAAATAAGGTAGGAAGTAAAGAAAGGAGATGGGGTAAGGAAAAGAGAGGTGATGAGAAAGAGGACTCTTTCATAGTACCAGGAGGAATAGATCCTAGGCTTCCCACAAAGTTGTCCCCCAGCCTGACCTCTTCCTTTCCAGAGCTCATGTATCCTCAATCCCAGCTTTCTCCCCATAGTTTCAGCTCTCCTGAAATATAGATTTCTATTCTCCCCAGGCCCCCAGCACTTTCCCTGACTTTCTTGCCGCAACCCCACCTCCCTTTCTAGACCTCAGATGTTGATTCTCAGTCTCTGTTCTTCCCCATTACCCTAGTGTTTATCTGTATTTCTTTTCTCCAATCCCTCCTCACTCCTTCCCACAGTGCCTTTGAGGACAGGCTTTGAAGCAGGTGACTCACAGAGGGAGAGGCCTTGGGTAGATGTGGACTGGCACAGCTCGGCATGCAGAGTGGCAGTCGAAGGTCGGGGTGAGCCCAGCAGCAGATGCAGGATGGTGCCAAAGCCATCTCTGTACAACAAACGGCCTGGTCCCTCTGGTTCTTCTTCAGCAAAGAGCTTTTCAGGGGAAAACAAAAAACAAAAACCAAACCAACAAACAAAAAAAACCAAGAAAAGATGGAGAACAGTTAGTCTGGGATCATCTCTTTCCTCGGTCTTCCCAAGTCATCAGGCAGATGACCTGTCCCCACACACACTTCCCTCCCAACATGAATGGCCCTTCCCCAAGACTATTCCAGGCTGATCACAGTGGAACCTCAGAGCACTTTATAGCCATCACCCCAGGCCCTACCCTGTCCCAATTCTTTTCTAGGTCTCCTCATGAAAGGATTTGCTGTGGTCTAACTGAAGTGGCAGTGGGTCAGGAACCTAGGTCCTAGAAACTCTCCAAAACATTAGGATAAAGCATTTTGGTGGGGAGATCATGTTCTACAGCAATTTTTTCCCCACCCTTTTTAATACCTCAAAGGCTAGACGAGTCAATTCTTCAAGGCTCCTGCCCCCATCTAGGGCTGCCAGTGCAAGAGCCACATCTCGGAAATCCACTGAACCACTGGAATCCTGGAAAATGGTAGTTATCATGGCATTGTGGTTAATAATGTAAGGATGAGGTCCTTTGTTTATCCTTTCCTCTCGCCAGATACCATCTCCCAGTTCTACATTAGCTGCCTAGGGACTGATTCTTCCTGGCAGTATTATTTCCCTTTGGGATGCTGAAGGGTGAGCTTCCTTAAAATACCATGGGCATCTTCAAGTTGTCTCCTGAGTCACATGATAAAATGATTTCTTACTCCAGGATGGAGGGAGTGCCCAAGACTAGGGAATCTCCTTTAGGGAATTCCTAAGGAATGCAGGAAAGCTCCAAGATTATTGACATTCTTACTACACATGTCAACATCATTTATTCATTGCCCTCAAGCTGGATGAACTGGTTTTGCACTCTCCTGGTCTTGGCTGATGTGGGAAAACTGGTCAGACATAGGAAGAGAGCCACTGGCATCACTTATTACAAAAAAGGGGAGTATGCTTGCTCTGTGCGCGCGTGTGAGTGTGTGTGTGTGTGTGTCCAGAACATCTAGTTCTTTATTTCTGATCCTCTAGGGGATTGTTAGAAACATTGGTCCCCTGACTTTGAGAATCATTAGATCTGGTTTTTCTCTGTTGCTCTGGGGACTTTTGAGAACCATGTTATCTGTTTTGGATGAGAGAGAACTCTGGCATTCAATAAACATTAGACATCTTCCAGGAACACCAGAATTCTTGCAGTGGGCAAAGCCACTAGAAATATTTGGAATACCAGGAATTCCCTGAGAAAGCCTGGGAATATTTGGGAAACTCCCAGGTTTTTTAGATGATCCTGCATGACATAAACCGGAGTTTATGAGTGGGACCGGATGTTACTTGGAAGGATGTGTGTCTGGGCTACCACTTCTGCCCTCTCTCCCTTGAGCACTATGGGATTTAGCTGAGGAGGGGGCCACTCACAGACAAGGAAAGGAGGCAAAATGTATAAGATTCATGGGATGAAAGTAAGTTATGGTACCAGAACTGACCAGCCACAAGCACTCAGCCTTCTACTCTGCTTAATTACTTCATCTCATCCCCTTCATACAGAGAGGAACTTGGCTCCATATGAGACCAGATGCTCCTTTAGCTTTAACAGTATCCAGATACTGCTGTCAACTAATCTATGACACTGCATTGTTATTTCTCCCAGTATTTCCTTATCTTGCTTAGTTTAACAAATATTTGCTTTCTACCATGGCTGGACAAGATGATGACGGACAGCAAACATAGCAACTACAGTACCTAGTATGGTTCTCCCGAACTGGCTATCTGATGTGGCCTTCAACAAATGCCTGATAAGCAAAGCATTGTGCTAGGCACTAGGAGAGATACCATGTTTAGAGTCACTGCCAACACAGAGCTTACAGTCTAGTAGGGGGATATGGCACACATACAAATAATTATAATGAAAATAATGCCTGACAAATGCATAAGATAGATGTGAACAAAATATTTGATGAGGTCTTTGAGAAGCCTTATGGCTTTCAATGTTTTCCACAGATAGTTTCTAGTATGTCCACTGAAAGGCGTTCCCCAAATCTTAAAACTTCTCACTTTAGGGCTTGGCGAATGAGACCCCTGGTGACAAAACTCTCCATCCCAGCTCCCTTCTCACCTGCTGGAAGTAGTCGAAGGCGCCAGCCACAGTGTGAGGGTCAGAGAGCTGCAGCTGTTTGGCAAACTCTTCTTTGCTGACCATGCGACTCCGGCCTGGCTCTGCTCCGGCATCCACACAACCAGGGGACAAACTACAATGGAAGTATTTCGGGCTGAGAAGTTGGACCAGTTCCCTTCTCACCATGCTTCTCAGAACTTATGCCTGTCCCTGGAGTCTCCCCAGTGTGGGATCGCCTGGGTGTGTTCCCAGATTGTACTCTTAACTAATAGTCCCTAGAGGTCTCCCACCTTTCATACTTGGGTGGTTTATTTTCTCTCCTTTTTTCCCTTTCCTTGGGATTCCACCCTTCATTCAATCCATATTCTTTGTGTTTCTTGTTCTTTCTGTATTTCCCTCTGATCCTCTTCTCGCAGGCCCCATCTTCCCAATTTCTGCCCTGTATTCCAAGTCACTCACCCAGCCTTTCGAATCACTTTTCCCAGCTCCCACAGCTGGGGTTCCAATGCCACCTTGAGCTGGCCAACCACAGTCACGGGCAGGTTCCCCACAAATTCACATTCTGTGGCAGGAATTCCCAAGGCCCTATAAGGTAAAGAGGAACATAGAGAAAAAGTGTCTTCAGAGATCCTGTATTTGGGAAAGCACCAAATTTACCTGCTGGAGGAAGCAAATCATAACCCCTGAATTTTCATTACCTAAGAACTCACATGCTTGTTTTCTAAGAACTTATTGACTGACCCTCCTCCCTACTGTAGAACTTTGGCTCACTACGCTGCTACCCCGCTACCCCACTCCACTCTGCTAGTTCTCATTTGTTGCTTCTTCACAGGGGCTCTATGCCATTGGCCTTAGAAACTATGGAGGAAGCTGGGTGTATGCAAAAAGGACACTCACTGTGCCATGACCCTCTGGACATTGTTGGCATAGAGAGTGGGGTTGCTGCTCTCTTCAGGGCTTGGCTGATACACTGGGAGGAACTGAAATGCAAACATATGCCCTAGTAAGGGAGGTACCTGGGGGCACCTACTCATCCCCCATTCCCTTTCCCTAGGGCCTTCTATTTCTTACCTCCACATCCACGAGGCTACAAGGCTGGGAGGCTGTAAGCCAGAGAACTTTGAGCCTGGGGGAGAAGAGAATTTTGATGCCTACCAGGCCGAGGATCCTATCTCAACTCTTCATGAAGGGACCTTAACAATCATGGGGGAAGTCACACGCCATTTGGCTCTATTCAAGAAGGGAGTGTGCCCTTTAAATGAGTCCTCAAAGTAGACTTTTAGCTGAACACAGTTGTGTGGAGAGGCATTTATTTGAGAAGCACTAAAAGGGTAGGTGAGAGGAATGGAGAGGAAATGCACAGCCATCATATCCTGGTTATACCTAATATCAGTTAGGTCTAACCACAGTATAAGGGCTAAAGAAATGGTGAGCCCTAGGGAGTTGTATCAGAGGAAAAGAACCCCAAGAGTGAGAAGGTTAGGTATGGAGGAAGCCCTGGGGGTTTCATTGTTAAGATGAGATTACTTGGGAGGTAATCACTGAGAACAGAATAAGCATAAATAGGCTTCAACTAGAATAGGGAAGCAGGATGCACTTTTAGACTATGCTAGCTATGAAACCCTGGAAAAGGTGGTAAGGCAGTTAAGGTATTGCCTTTCTTGGAGTTCTCCCTAGCTTTGGAGAAAGCCATTGGAGCGGTGTTATTTTGTCTAAATGGTTAGCAGGATGAGTTGGACTAGATGACCTCTGGAGGGCTTGGCCAGCCTGGTGGTAGGTAGGCTGAGAATCCTGTGATGAATCCTCAGCCCTTCCCTTTTCCACACCCCACCCTCAGCTCCCACCACCTCTTCCCCCACCACATGCCCAAGGGCACCACCAGGACTCACACTCCAGGGCCTCTCCATGCCCAGCTTGTAGTGTCCTAAGGGAGAAGCAGAGATTAGGAATGAGAGGAAAGACTTGCTTATTCTTTCCAGAAATTGCCCCTCCTCCAGACTCTGCCAGCTCTGCCCCTTCTACCCAGCTTATGCACAAGTTCTCCCATGATGTGGGTGATGATATTAGGGCAGATTCAAGCTCTTTTCATCTTCACACCTTCTTGGATTCAGACTCACCAGGCTGTTGGGGTATCGGATGAGGACAGGTTGCACAGGCACCCCTGCGATGAAAGCTCCTAAACCCCATGCCCAACACCCAAAATAAAGGTTAGTGTGTGGGGGGGAAGAAGGGATGGAGGGTCAGGGCAACCCCCAACAAAGTCTCCTGTTCTAGGTCACTTCTAACAACCTGAGAATTTGACTTTTTTTTTTACTATTTCCTAAAGGTCATCATGGGTTCTCTGGACCACTTGACTCCCTCCCCTGGAATTCCAAGTTTCCCCCCTGCCCCCAAACTCTTCCTCAACTCTTATGCTTACTTTTTCTCTAGTTCTACTTCTACCTCCACCCCACCTCCACGCCCTGTTCACCTGGTTTGAATTTGAGCAAGGCTTTCTTGTTGGAGCAGGTGCCCTCAGGAAAAAACAGCACCTAAAGAGTACAATAGGAAAGCAGAATGGGAATGGAGGTGGGAAGGAGGGAAGAGATGGCTGTGTGTTCTGAAAAGGCATCTCCAAGGGACGCAAGGGATGGCTAGGTAGCTTCCTGTGACTCCCTTGGAGATTTTTTTTCCCCCCTGCACTTCTCAGGGTTACCTCCTAGCATTCTATGAGAGGCTTTAGTAGAAGTGGGTCCTGGCTCCTATTTCATGTAGAGGCCCACCACTCCTAAGGTTCATGCATAACCATCTCCTGCCTTTTTTCCAGGAAGAGGGGGTAGAGTGAGGACAGAGCAGCACCAAAAGTATTGGTGATACTCTAGCTCCTGATGTTGGCATGGAGAAACTGGCAAGCAGCATATTGGGAAGTGGCTTCTTTGTAGATATACCAGGAGAGAGACTCAGAAGGGGTCACAGAACCTGGACCTACCTGAGGCCACTTGCCTTTTGAAGTTGCCCGCCTTCGAACCTCTTCTACCACCTTTCTTCGAGAAGCAGGGTCATGCCGGGACACTAGGATGGCTTGGTTGAAACGAAGAAGTGCTGGAGGGGAAGATGGAGAAGTAAAAAACAGTGGAGTTAATTATGTTATAGAATCATGGAATTTTAGGGATGGAAAACATCTAAGAGACCATCTGGCTCAACCCTCTCACTTAGATAGGGAAAATGAAACAGGGGAAGAGATATTAAGTAACATGCCCAGAGGGTAGGAGACTAGTAAATAGGAGAACCAGAACTAGTACCCAGTTTTCTAGCTCCAGGCCCACACCTGGAGGTGCTCTTATGCATTGTTCCCCATACCTTAAGGGTCTTCTAATCTGTGCTTGGAAGGCGACCAAATTACTTATCCCACAATTGTGTGCAACACCCTCATTTTACAGATGAGGAAACTGAGGAAGGCGGAAGTGAAGTGACTTGCCTAGGGTCGCACAGCTATTTAGTATCTGAAGTGAGATTTGGATCCAGGTCTTCCTGACTCCAAGTCCAGTGCTCTACCCATTATACCACACTACCTGTCTTTATTACTATTTTGGGTTAAGGATTTCCCCTTGTGTTCTCTCATCCTCCTGTTACTCATTCTTCTGAGACTCTGAATCCTCACTCAGCTACTTAGTATCAGTGTTACTTAAGGCAAGTCACTTTTCCTCCCCGGGCTTCAGTTTCCTCACATATAAAACAACAGGGTTGGACTAGGTATTTTTAAGATACTTCTAACTCCTATTATTCTGATAAAGAGAGGTGAAGCAATAATTTATAAATGTTGCTAATTTGCATGTCACTGTCAACACAGACCCAAGTGGCCCTTTCTCCCTTGTGAATGCAGGCCAGTTTTCCTTAGAGTCTTCCCAATCTTTGGTTCTTTCCATCCAGCTCTCTCTCTTCCCCCTGCCCCCCAATTCTCCTTCAAACCTAGTGTGCTCTTACCTCCAATGACTGGTACAGACAGGTTCTCAGCTCGGGATACAACCTTGGGTAGGTCACAAGGCAACAGAACAATGGGGTCAAAGAAGGTCGAATGGGGAGCAGCAACCAGGACAGGTGCTTCTAGGCATGAGGCACGATGACCTCGAACCCGGATTCGCAGGAAGCCCAGAAGGAAAAAGAGTAGCCGACTCAGGCCTAGTACTCCACTGTGACAGATTGTCCTGTACAAGGTAAGTCTGGGTATGAGTAGGGTAAATCTACTCACCTTCACCCACCCCTAGGTCCCTGACACCTGGACAAGAATCACTGTATTATCCCTCCAAGGTTTCTCTCTCTCCCTTTCTCCCCCTAGGAATCCTGGCTAAAAACAGTCAAGGTTCTAGGCTAGGAGATCTCATCCTGATGTTAAAACTTCTGGGAAAAGAATAGTCTGACAATCTTGTCATGTGACCCAATACACTTACAGCGTCTCATTTTAGAGATGGTGTCCCAGGTAGTAGGAGTGGATCAGAAAAACATCCCACCCACAGGGTTTTAAACCCACCAATGGATTCTAGAGCTCTACCCACATTCTCTACCCACTATGTTTTCTTCCTCTCAAAGAAGAAAGGGGTGGGTAGCAAAGAAGAATAAAGGGCTATGGAATAGCCATTGCTATTTGTCCCTGGCTTTCTCACTTACTTCCTCCATCCTGTGATTGGCTCCTGCAGCTGCTCCTCCGTGAGACCAGCCACTTGAAGCCAGGCAAAGGGCCAAAGGAGAAAGAGGACAAGGAAGGCCAGCAGCACTCGGATGGGGGCCAGCAGTGCCCCCAGCAGGCAGAACTGGGGACAGTGGGAAGGGGGTAGGGCTATCAGAACTTGGAACACCTTCTTACACAGCCTACTCATTTTCTTAGGGATGGAAGCAGGGCCAGAGAGGTTCCCCCTTTCTCCTGACAGAGTAAAGGGTGGCACAGTTAATATGGTTAGAGATAGGATATACTGGGGAGGAGAGGGGAATCTGGGAAAATTAAGGAGATAGGTCAAACTAGGAGAAGGGAGAGAAAATTCCAATTCTATTTAAGACTATAGTTCTATGGCCAAAAAAGATAATGGATGTAAAAACATTTAAATATTTAAAGTGTCATGCAAATTTAAGATTATTATCTGGATTAATGAATCAAACGGGGAAGACAGTGGGTTGAAAGAAGGATAGAAGGGGGAGAGAGTATTTACAAGGAATAAGGGCAGTGAAGACCCTGATGAGAACAGGAACATAAAAGACTAAGTAGGATCAGAGCTCCACTTTTCCTGCCTTTCAGCCCCTCACCCCAACCCATATGTAGCTCAACTATCCACAGAGCTCCATGAGCACTCTCTTCTCTCTTATCTGGGATGGAGGATGAATTTGGGGGACATATTGGCATAGCATTCACCTCTTTACTGTTTCCCAAGTTGTTTAACAGTAATACCCTGGGATGGGGGAGGGGAGGGGATTGGGGCTCAGATTAGGGAGGTAGTGTTAGAGTTGCCAGGAGCCTGGGTTACTCTGGTGGTAACCCTGGGGAGGTAGCAGGTAAACAAATCCCTGCCTCTAGAGCCTAACCCTGGGAGCAGAAATTACAGTCAAGTCTATTTGCCCCTTTCCTAGTTCTCAACCTTCTGACCTGTCTGGGGTTGCCCTCCTTTTCCTGCAGCCATCCTCCCCCCACCCCCAAGGTGCTGCAGTGCAGGGGGTTGGGGGGAGGTGGGAAGGGCATAGGGACACAGGCAGGGGCAACCCAATAGTCTTCTTCTCTAAGTCAATTTCTGAGGTGGAACATTCAACATCCCCACCCAAGTTCCTTTTAACCTCTATACTCCATCCTCAGAGTCCTCAGTAGCTTTAGGATGCTATCTTCATCTCTCTCAGTGTCCTCCATCTGTTTCTAGTCTCTCTGGATCTTTTTGGTTCTTCATCATCACTTTCCTAATCCTTCCAGTCCTCCATTTATTTTATCTGTCTGCTCTGGTATCTTTTATCCCCTAGACGTTCGATCCCCGTGGTACCATCCCCCCAACCATTCTCCCATATTCCCTACCTCCAAAGCTCGTCTTTCCCAGTTGCCCACTTCCATCTTCCCCAGGGCCCAAATATCCCACATGTTCCCATCCCCATTAGTTCTTCCTGCTTTCCTAATCCAATCTCCTCTATGCTTCCCCAGTCCACACCTCACCTTGACCCTCTGAAGGCGGGAGAGGTGCAGCTCGTGCACGAAGGGATTAGGTGGTGGTGGGGGCCCGGGGGTAGGGTCAACAGGAACCCAGTCCCCCGGGCTGCCCTGGCTCATGATTTCAGGAGGCTGGGGGCCTCGGCCCCAGCCCGGGCCCCAGCTCTGCAGAGCGTCTGCCTGTGGTGGCGGCTGTTGCTGCTGCTGCTGCTGCGGTGGTGGTGGTGGCGGCAGCGACTCTGGCCCCAGGCCGAGCCTGATGCTGGGTGGAGAGAAGAAGGGAGGGGGAGAGGGAGCGCGGAACGAGCCCGGCGTTGTCAGGGCTCTGGGAAGGGGCGGAGCTTCCCGCTTTGGGGAGTCAGAGCTCCCCCACAGCCTCCGCCTGCATCCTCCCTAGCCGCCATACCCCCCACTGCCCGTCTCCCGCCCCAATTCCCAGGGCCATTGTTCTGCAGAAGCCGGATGCTTTTCGGAATGCTCAGCCCCCGCCTGGTCCTTTACTTCTACGGCTCCAGGCCTTCTGCTCTTCCTTCTCTTCCCTCCCCTGCAGCCTTCCCCTCCCACTGCTTCTTCTCCACCTCCTTTCCCTCTTATCCGCCCCCCAACCTCGGTCCTTTCCTTCTAGGGTTTCACTGTTCTGGCGCCCGGCCTTAGTCTGGAGAAAGGTGTGGGTGCATGGGGGTGGCAAGCTTCATGGTGAGGGGGTAAGGATGGGGGATGGAGGATGGGGAGCGTCTTGTGGATGGAGAGGCTGGAAGGTCCCACCCTCTCAATTCAGAGCTACGAGTTTGGAGAAGATTTAAGTTGGGGACCCTTGGAGATGACAAGAAATGGGGATAAAGTAGGAGAAGCCTGGGACAAGGAGTCCCAGATTCTAAAGTGAAGGGTAAGACACCACCCCCGCCCATCCTCTCGTGGCTCCAGAGGACACTCTCTGCTACTTCTCCCCCGCCCATCCCCACTTTCCTTTAATCACACGAGGAGGGTTAACTTCATGGCTCCAGTCTGCCGCCCTCTGGTGGTCTCTAACTCCTCCAGCCCTCCTTGGCAATATTTCTTTTCTCCATCCCCCGCCCCAACTCTGATTTGGGGAGTTTCTGTATTCCTGAGATTCCTTCCCAGAAGGCCTGTAATTCATTTGCTCTTAGTTGTTTGAATAGGTAAACTTTGAACTTGATTTTTAAGGAGGGGTTGATAGGGTCCAACATTTCAGAGAGAAAGGTCAGCCCCTCCTTAAAAATCAAGCTCAAAGTTTACCTATTCTAAGACATAGTTCCAACCTAGCATTTACCCAGGCCTGGAGAGACCAGTGTTTTCCTTCCCAACTAAACCTCCTTCTTCTTCCCCCTATTCTCCCCCCCCCCCGCAGGAGAGGTATAGGTACATTTTTGTATGAAACTACAAGTCCACTTACTTTACACGGTCTTCCAGCTTCTCCTTGAGGCACTGCTGCTCCATGCTTTTTCCTCCCAAGGGCAGAGACTGCCTTTGCATATTCATTAATTTGCACAATGCCCTTCACTTAGTAGGTACTTCGTTGATTACCTTAGCGCCCCTATTGCAGCCATTTAGACTTCTTTTTCTCTACATGCTAGAAAGAAGACTTGACTGGCCACTAGGTGGAGTAGTGTTGCACTTGGAATTAGGTACACCTGTGTTCAAATCTTGCCTCAGACACTTACTTGCTATGTGACCCTGGGCAAGTCACAACTCCTCTGTCTCTGTTTCTAAATCTGTAAACTGGGGATGAGAATAGCACCTACCTCACAGAATTGTTATGAGAATAAAATAACATATTTAAAGCACTTTGTTACTATTATCGTCATTATAGTGACTTAAACAGTTATATCATTTAAGACTAGATAATGTTTATATGTATTTTTAAACTTTTTTAAGATAAGAGGATTCCTTTAACCTATCTCAACTCCATTACATAACTATATAATACTCTTTTCCTGTTAGGAAATCTATTATAGGATTTAAACCCCACCCTTTTTATTGTAGTATCTTGTCCATTTTCTTCAGTTCTTGTCTCAATAGAGATGGAGAATGGTTGGATGGGTCAGGCTTACCCATAGGAGAAACTCATAGTCCTTATTTATCTAGCACTAATGTTGTATGGGTGGAAGGCCACAGAATAATCATTATCCCACGACACTTAAGAGCTATTCCCTGGACTTACATGAACTGATGCTGAGTGAAGTAAGCAGAACCAGGAGAACTTTGTACACAGTAACAGCAACATTGTCTGATGATCAAGTATGCATCAAAGGTTATGGAGTCAGGAGGAATTCAATGCTCTTGCTTCAATAACTAAGAATTCTAGAAAAGCTCCCCCCTCTCACTCTTTATCCTGTCACTTGGAATTCTTCCAGCTCTCTGGACTTCTGTGCAGAAGGGGGAAAGAATTTCCCTCCCTTCCCCTCCCCTTTTAGCATCAATAGAAGGTACTTATATGTAGTAGGCAAGCTTGAGCCTAGACCTCAAGTCTCTGGTTACCAATTCTGTTTTGTGTGTCTTTCCATGATCACAAGTGACTGAATAGTGATCTTAGAGATTGATGTTTCCAGTTTCAGTGACTACCTTGAGTTCAAGGCAGCTTGGATTCCAGAGTCAGTGCTGCCTGCCTAGCAGGAGGTGCTCCTTAAAACTATACTGCTTTTTAGAGAAAATAATGACCATCAGTTGAATCATTTTGAGCCTGGAGGGAGTAAAGAACCTTGTCTGGCTGTCCAGAAGATCTGGACTTTGAGTTACATAGATAGTACAGATCCTAGATGAATAGGAAACATCTGTTCAGCAGTCTCACAAAGTTGTTTTTACTTCCCAGAAAAGATTTATCTCTCTTCTCTTTTCACCTTTATTCTATAGCCCATCCATACCTTCTTGTCTTCTCTGGAACCTCACTTAAACAACTGTCCTTTCCCTTTTTATAGGCCCTTTTCCTTCTTTGGCAAACATGGATAAGCCTTCCCTAGCCTGAAGAGAGGCAAGCCAGCCAACCAACCATCCAAAAAAACACCAAAGCAAAACCAAAAGAAAACAAAAACTAAACCACTGCTTGATTCTTTAGCACCTGTGAACTAGGTACCATACTCCGCCCATCCCCTTGTGCAATTAAACTCCTGAAATGTGTAGCCTATATTCACTGATTACTTCCTCTGCTCCAAATTACTTATTAACCCTCTAAATCTTACCCACCTCCCTTTATAGCTACTAAAATTGTTCTTTTAAACAATTTTCTTCTTCTTTCCTTCTCCTTCTGACTTCCTTTCTCAGATTCCTTCCAACCCTATCTCTCTGGCTCTAACCTTTCGCCTCCAGCCCATGTTTCTAATCCTGTCAAACATATGAAGTGGATGCCTTGCTCAAGTTAAACATATCTAAAACCAAGTTTATCATTTCTTTCCTCTATTTCCCCCTGTATTCTCACCCCACAAACAAACAACCCTGAGTAGTTTTCACTGAGTTCCATTTATCAGCGACAGATTTTGGAGTTAAGACTGAATGATCTAGGTTTGATCCAAGGCCATGCCACTTAATACCTTTATGGCCTTGGAAAATTAATTTCATTTCCCTGTTTCCTCATCTGTAAAATAATGGTGTCAGATGATCTGTAAGGTTACTTCCCTCTCTAAATCCAGTGACTTCATCATTATCTCCTTTCTGCCTCAAATGACTAAAAACAGGTTACCTGCTTAGGGTCTTCACCTTTTAAAATACATGTTGCAAACAGCCATTATCAGGTGTTAGTGATGCCAGGACTAGAATCCATGTCCCTTGATTTCTAATTTAAATACTCATTTGACTTCCTGTACTTCATGCTTAAATGTTACTGTAAGTCTTCACTTTTCTTCCTGACTCCAGATGGCCCAAGGAGGCCAATGCAGTGATTAATTTTTGACTTTGATTTCTTTCCTGTCCTCTTTCATTCCCTGTGTCCTATTTTAGCTTTTTTTTTTTTTTTTGTCTAAGTCTAGTCATTGCAGATTAAATGTATTGCTACAGGGTGGGTCTAGAATAAGTTATAGGGCAAAGAAAGGGCATAACTGAAAAAGGACCTTAGAATGGGGTGGTAGGGTAGTTAGGAGAGGGAGTATTTATTTTTTCCCCCTGTTTTCTCTGCCAAGAACCATCTTGTTTTTGGCTTTTTTCTTACTTAAAGAAAAGTTATTGATAAACATAAAAACTGAAACCAAAAAGTACATCTACTGAAACAAGTTAAACCAGATGACATAAAATGGGGTATGGAACAATACACTTTTTGTACCTTACCAAATTGGAAAACTATTTGAGAGAGGAAGCATTTTTGACAGATACCTTAAGTCATCCCACTTTCTGCTCATAGAGAGCCCCAGTCCAGGCCATTTGCTACACTGTGACCCATTCCACATTATCTCTTTTTCACAGGTATTTATTGTAACCAAATCATTTGTGTTCTGAATACATTGTCTACATATCTCTCCAGGTCTGAAACTGGATCTCATAGTTGAGTTCATTGTATCCCACCGTTTGGAATCAGGCACTTAACTCTGTTTCCATGACTGCCTGGAGAGAGGTGCTTTCACATCTCTGAGGTTTGATTTCTGAGGTGGCAGTATTGGCCTCTTTCTATCCTGTTGGTCATGTGTGAAATTGCTCCATTAGTGTCATTCTCTTGTGTTAAGACATTGTTCAGTTCCATTCTATAAGCACTTACTGCCTACTGTGCTAAAGGTAAGAGACATCTGATATAGTGGATAGAGGGCTAGCCTTGGAATCAGGAGGAACTGGGTTCAGTCTTGCCTTTGACACACTTAGTGCCTGTATTACCCTGGGAAAGTCACTTAAGCCCTCAGTATCTTACATATCTTTCTAAGACTGAGTAGCAGATGAGTGGCTGATCTGAATTTGTATACTGGTAGTATTTTACACTGAGGAAATCAGAGGTCCAGATGCTCCACCCCCAGGAGTAAGGGGTCTGGAGCATACAAAGACAAAAAGGAAATATAGTCTGTGCCTTTAAGGAGCTTATAGTCTACTGGGAAAACATATAAGATGAAAGATAAATAAAAAGAATATATTTTGAGGAGGGAGAGAGCCCTAACAACTTTTTTTTTTTGGTGAGGCAATTGGGGTTAAGTGACTTGCCCAGAGTCACACAGCTAGTAAGCTGGGGATGGTGCTCTATCCACCGTGCCACCTAACTGCCCCCATAACAACTTTTTATGCAAAAGAGGAAGGTTTGATAGTGGAAAGACCAGTCAACAGCCCTAGCAATTCTTTGTGTGTGTGTGTGTGTTTGTTAGGCGATGGGGTTAAGTGACTTGCCCAGGGTCGCACAGCTAGTAAGTGTCAAGTGTCTGAGACTGGATTTGAACTCAGGTCCTCCTGACTCCAGGGCCAGTGCTCTATCCACTTCACCACCTAGCTGCCCTTACTCCTGGCAATTCTTAATCAATACCTGGAGAGGGCAGACCTTGGTGGGGGGGATGGTATATAGGGATGTGGTAAGCCTAAGAGCACTGGATTCGCACCCAGAAGCAAAGAGGTAGGGTTGGGGAGGAGAAAGATGAAAGGGGAGATGGAGAAGCAGTGAAGCAGACATCATCTAATTCACAATTTTGTCTGGAGCCAGCCTGGTTTCTCCCTGCTCCACCATTTCTTTAAGTGGAACCAGCTAAGAGCCACTCAAAACATGTCACTACAAGTCTGGGCCCTGGATAGGTTCCTCTGAATTTACAACAATACCAGAAAACTTAGATATTTAGTCTAAGAGTCATGAAGATTTAAATATTTTATGCCTTTCTGATCCTCTTTCCTCTAATCTCTTTTGTTGTCCCTTTCCTCTCAGTGCCCTCCTTGCTGACTTTCTCCCTCTTCTTCCTTTCTGTCCCAGAACAAACCATCCTGGCACTCCCTGTTAATTAAAAGGGAGATTGGCAGGTGTTAAATTGGAGCATCAAAGCCATTAACACTTGCTTGGGAGCTTTCTCCAGGATATAATTATAGAGTCTTTAAAAAAAGACTCTTGGAGGGTAGGTGGGCAGGGTCTGAAGCATTTTTACATCAGGCCCAGTACCCTTTATTATATTTCTGATTACTACATCTGGAGCCTTTGACTTTGTTATATGTTTATCCTTCCTGTCCAAGTTTGTCTATAAGTAGAATTTACATAAAGTGGAGGGGAGAAAAATTGAATGATCTTTTTATTTAAAAACAACTTTTTTTGATCAGATTGGCATGGATGGGGGTGTAGTCCCGATGCATGGAATGAGGAAGCCCCCTCTGGCAATGTAGATTGGTAACTTATTTAGTTTTAGCCTAGGCCAGTGAGTAGTTAGTTATGTGACTTGCCCAGGGTCCCATAACTGTAGATGTCAGAGATGAATCTTGGACCCAAGTCATCCTAACTTAGAGGCCAGTAGACATATTTCAAACATCTATATTTCAGTTATGTTCAATTATACACACACAAACATATACACACAGATATGTGTGTATGTCTGTGTATTATATGTTCAATTTAACTCATCAAATCTTGCTGTGTGCCTCTATTCAAAGCTGTTGGGAGTTGACATTTAGGTAAAAAAGTCAGGGCTTGATTTATTGTTTTGTTGTTGATTATCTGGACTTAAGAAAGTGATGGTTAAAATGTTTATATTGGAAATTAAATCTAAAAATGTATTGTGTGTTTTTGGAGAGCTGGTTTGAACATTTACCAGCACATCCCTGTAACAGTGTAATCCCTTTGTCAGAAGTTTCCTTTAGTAAGAAGATCCCTCAGACACGGAGTATGTCACATCTTACTTCTTTAGAGGTAGCCAGGTATTTCAGTGGATAGAGTGCCAGGCTTGGAGTCAGAAAGACTCATCTTCCTGAGTTCAAATCTGGCTTCAAACACTTACTAGCTGTGTGACTAAGCAAGTTATTTAACCCTGTTTGCCTCAGTTCCCTCATCTGTAAAATGAGGTGGAGAAGGAAATGGTAAACTACTCCAGCATTTTTGCCAACAAAACCTCGAATAAGAATCAGGTACAACTGAACAACAACTGGACAACAGCAAGTTCTCTAGGGATCATTTCCCTTAGCCAGACGATCTGAGAACTTCCGTCTCTTATTTCCGTGGTTGGAGAGCACAGGATTAGTCACCAAGTCCTTTTACAAGCAGCCACATGTTAATTATCCTCTGCCTTCTCAAACTTTGTATATACAGATAATGTATTACCTAGGAGAATTCAAGCTTCTGAAGGTAGGGACTATTTTGATTTTGTCTTTTGATTTTTATCATCAGTGCCCAGCTAGCACCATATCTTGAATAGAGTGGGTGCTTACTAAATGTCCGTTTAAATGAATTGAACTAAAAATTCAACTTAATTATTTAAAATACTTATAAGTTTGAGGTTGGGCAAGTTGTAGGGATTCTTGTACAAGTATGGATTAGACTAAATAGCTTTAAAAATAGCTAGCATTTATATAGTGAATACTATGTACTGTATCTAGTGCTAAGCACTCTACAATTATTATCTCATTTGATCCTCAAAATGACCGTGGGAAGTAGATGCCATTATTATCCCTATTTTACAGATGAGGAAACTGAGGAGAACAGATTAAGTGACCTACTCAGGGTTACACAGCTAGGAGATGTCTGAAGCTAGATTTGAACTCAGATCTTCTTGACCCCAGGCCCAGTCCTCTATCTACTGAGCCTCTGAAGTCCCTTTCAACTTTTTAGATCTTGTGTAATTCTGTATGTGAAATCAGCAGGACTCTTGTCAGAATCCATAGATACTAACCGTACTGTTTTTTCATGGATTAGTTCTTCTTCCTTGTTTCAAAGCTGTTATTAACTCTCAGCAGTTGGTGCTCATTACTGTTATCAGAGGATGAGCTTTCTAATATGACCTACAGGGGAAGGATGTTGCAGAGTGTGTATTTTTTCTGAGTACAGTACAATTTTTTGGGGAAATTTTTCTTATTTATTTCATTAAATATTTCCCAATTACATGTAGATTTATAAAAACATTCATTTTTAAAACTTTGAGTTCCAAATTCCCTCCCTTTCACCCTTCCCACCATCCCTCATTGAGAAGGCAAGCGATTGGATATAGGTTATACATCTGTAGTCATGCAAAACATATCCATAACAGTAACTACATGTAATTTTAAAAAATATTCATTTAAAAAAATTTTGAATTCAAAATTCTTTCCCTTCTTCAAGCCCTTCTCTACCTCTTGAGAAAGCAAGCAATATGATGTTGATTATACATGTGAAATCATGCAAAACATATTTCCATATTAGCCATGTTGCGAAAGAAAACACAGGCAAAAACTCAAGAAAAGTAAAGTAAAAAAACGTATGCTTTAATCTGCATTTAGAGTTCATCAGTTCTTTCTCTGGAGGTGGATAGCATTTTTCATCATGGGTCCTTTGGAATTGTCTTGGATCATTATCTTGATCAGAGACACTAAGTCTTTCGCAGTTGAGCATCCTATAGAATATTGCTGTTGCTGTGTACAATGTTCTCCTGGTTCTGCTCACTTCACTTTGTATCAGTTTATAAGTCTTTCTGGGTTTTTCTGAAACTGTCCTGAAACTAAGAAATTGTCATTTCTTAAGCACAATAGTATTCCATCACAATCACGTACCAAACTTGTTCAGCCATTCTTCATTTGATGGGCATCTCTTCAATTTCCAATTCTTTGCCACCACAAAAAGGGCTGCTGTAAATATTTTTGTACAAATAGTTGCTTTCCCCTTTTCTTTGAACTCTTTAGGATACAAACCTACTAGTGGTATTGCTGGATCAAATGGTATGCAGTTTTATAGCCCTTTGGATGTAATTCCAAATTGTTCTCCAGAATGGTAAGATTAGCTTACAACTCAGTAGTGCATTAGTGTCCTAGTTTTTCCACATCCCCTCTAACTTTTGTCCTTTTTCTTTTCTATCATTTTAGCCAATCTGATAGGTGTGAGGTGGTATCTCAGAGTTATTATAATTTGCAAGTACAGTATATTTCTAATTCTAATGTACTTCCATAGCATTTCTTCTGGCCCCAGATGTTTTGAGGATTTGGCCAAGGCCAGAGGAACCATTTCCTTAGGCAGCTAAGTGGTATAGTGGATAGAGTACTGGATGTGGAGTCAGGAAGACCTGAGTTCAAATCCAGCTTCAGACACTTGTTAGCTGTGTGACACTGGACAATTCACTTAACCTCAGTTTTCTCAACTGTAAAATGGGAATAATAACTGCACCTATCTAATCTCTCTGTCAAATTCCACGTTAACTCATGGTGACTTATTCCCTCTTGGTCAGCATTTTGAGTCAGGTTTAGATGGTAGAAAGGAGCACTCCATTTACTTTCGAAAGATGTCTGTTTTTTTTTTCAGATTGTCATTTGAGATGTTATTTCAGAAGTTTAAAGCTTTTAAAAATCAAATGATGCTGATAGCTTAACAGCTGAAAAAAATCAATAACCGTACTACATTGTATGAGTTAAAATTATATTAGTTCAGAATCAGCAAGTTTTTTTTTTATTTTCCAGGGTTCTTGAAAAACGTATCTTTTTGTGGTGAAAAAGGAAAAAATTAACAAAGGTAAGAACGTACTAGTGATGGCAATGTTGGAAGAAGTCTGTATTTTCTTTGCATTTGTTGTATTCCATGATTGTCCTTTCAGTGGTCCATCACAAACAGATACTTTCTTAAAATCTTTTCTCCTATTTCTCAAAAATCCAAGGATTCTTTGAGTGAAATGCTGCTTGTCCCAGGTCCATTAGTGTCTATGTCACAATTTTCTGGCTCTTCATTTACCAATGCTTCAGTCCCCGATAGCACATTTCTCCACTGTACGTCATGGCCAGCAAATGAGCGTCCCTGAACACACCTTCACTGAGTAATTTAACTGTGTTTATGTCTTGAAAAGAAACATCTTCATTTAGTTGAAGAGGGCATCAAAAATTAAGCATCTTTAGCAAGTAATTGATTCTATCAATGAGACACTTTTTAAGCACATCTGTCTTGCTGTCACAGTATGGCAATACATATAGAGTAGGGCTCCTCTTCTCCAATAAAGGCATTCTAGTAGTTCTGTCCTAAGAATATCAGAGTGTTTTGGATGCAGATTACTTTCTTTAACTACAACTTCTGGTTCTGAAAGAACAGTGGTTAACTCCTTTACTTTCTGTAAAGAAATGTCTTCTGGAATATCTTCATCTACCAGCTTATTCTCTTCAAAATATGTCATGTTCAATAGAGCCTGTGTGTAAAGCTTTATAAGAATTGATGGATTCATATTTTCTTCATCTTCTTTACAAAGGACTTTTAATTTCTCAAGAGAAGTAGCAGCCTGAATTAAAAATATATTGTCTCCGCCAGCAGCTTCGCTGAGCAGCAGGAGGCAAGCCAGGGCCCGATCCCCTCTTCCTCCCACCAGACAGGCCGCACTAGAGCCCTCCCTGATGGCAGCCATGATGCCTCTGAGGCTTGGGCTTAGCTGTCTTTTAGTCTTCATGCTTCCCTCTTGGCAATTGGGTCAGCTTTTTAAAACTATCTGGAACTGTTTCCTGATTCTAAGAGAGTAAGAATGAACTTTTGGGGAGTGCCCTCCATTTGAGGGAGATAAAAATCTGTAATCTGGAGTATATTTCTGGTGGTTTGCATTCCAGCAGGGAGATAAAGCACAGAGACAGGTTTAATACACAATATGACTAAGCCTGGTTCTAGATAAGATCTAAGCTGCAGGGGTGTGGAACCTGTGGCCTCGAGGCCACATATAGCTCTCTAGGTCCTCAAGTGTGGCCCTTTGATGGAATCCAAACTTCGCAAAACAAAGGTTCACTGCCTCTGGAAGGGATATGGCAATTATTAATGGGAAAGTTAGGGAAGGCTTCATGTAGGAAGTGACATTTGAGTTAGATTTTGAAAGGATTCAGTAGGTAAAGACCATTCCAGACACAGAGAAGAACATGATCAAAGGCTAGGAGTCAGGAAAGTGGAGGAAATGTTTGATATACAGAGAATATTCCAGATTTGTTGATTTATAAAGGACAAGAGTAGAATGAAACCAGTCTGGAAAGAATAGGGTGGCATCAGATTGTGGAGGGCTATGAATGCTAGGCAAAGTAGTTTAAATTTTACTTGGCAGGAAAAATAGCAGTTATTGGAAAATTTTTTTTATCTAGGTACAAGAAATGCTACTTTTACAGAAAGAAGGATGGATTAGGAAGAAATGGAGGTGGAGAGGCAGTTCTTGTAATAGACCAGGTGGGTAGTATGAAGGACCATTCTAGGGTGGTAGCAGTGAAAGTAGAGAGAATGGAGAATGGAATGAATGTGAGAAATATCATGGAGGAAGAAGGTATACGACTTGTTGACTGCATAAATGTGAGAAGTGAGGGAGAGGGAAATGTGAAAAGTAAAACTAAATTTTATAATATATAAGAATAGGTGATTGGTACTACCATTGATAGAACTATTCCAACTCAGAAGGAAGAAGAGGTTTGAAAGAGAAAGATTAAGCTTGGTTTTAGACACATTAATTTTGAGATGCTGTTGGGACTAGAGGTATGTCCTGAAGGCTGCTGGAGATTCAGATCTAAAAGAGGTGTATGATATGTAAAAAGTTTGAGAGATAATTTCTGGGTAATCAATCATTTTATTAATCATGCTAGCAATAATTAATAAAAGGGGTCAGTGGCACTCTCCAATGTCAAAGATCCCTTGCGGAATCCACTTAATGCTTATATGCCCTTGGAAGAGTGGGTGTTCCTGAGGGTGGCAATGAGAAAAAGAATATTATAATGATAGACAGACCTATTGTAATGAGGAGCTGGAAGACATGGCTAATTTTGTCACTCATGGACAAAGAGAGACTATCTCAAGCCAGACTAGACCCAGCCTCAGGCAGTCTAGCCTGCCAGAGTGGAACATAATGGTCCAGAATTTACCTTAGATTAAATTTTTTGTAACATTCTGTAGTTGGATGGGCAACAACTCCAAGATTTCATCTCATCATCTGCCCTGCCCTTTAGAGACTAAGCTTTGACCTGATCTCCAAATGAGAAGGGGAAAAAAAATCCTAGATCTCTTCAATATTGGCAATTAGCTATTTAATAATAATTTCTCTCAGGCAGGAGGGATAGCTGAAAAATGAGGGGGTTGGACTAGATGACCTGCGGGGTTCCTTTCAACTCCAAATCAATGACTCTATGATCCTTTTAAATATAGATTTAAAGATCATTTATATTGGCATTATATTTGATGTGGGAGTAGATTAAATTGCCAAAGGAAAGACTATATGGAGAAAAAGGAAAAAGGCCAAGGATGGACCCTTAACTTTCCAAACTTTAAATATCTCTCCTTTCAGTTCCTATAGATTCTTAGGTTTGGTGTGGGATAACTTGGAAATAAATGTGTACCAGGGATTAGATTGGAGTATAACCCATGGAAAGTATCCAGAGATAGTACTGAAGGGATGTCATCCCATGGAGTTTTCGATGAGCTCCTCAGGTAACTTCTAGGGCCATGTGTGCTTCAGTACTCTAGGGCTTGGCACTTTGGGGTGTTGTAGCAAATCCTGGGGTCCTTTAGTCCTCCTTATACTTTGCCTATAGTCATAAGGAGGCTGTAGAGAGGACCTGAAATAAGAATAGCCATCTATTCAGAAGACTTTAAAAGGAGTAACTTTGCTCTCTGGAGCCCTCTTTTCCCTTCCTCACTTGAGCATGTAGCATTCCCTGTGTGGAATTTTCTAAGAAGAATGGCAAGTATTCTTTCTGATCTTCACAGAAACTGTGAACTATTTGTACATAGCATTCAGGCCCATGTGTTCTCAGGTGAGCTTGAGTCCAGATTCTAGGTCCTGACAGCCTTTTCTCCTTTTTGTTTCTTTCCCTGAAGCATAGCTGACCAGTGATTGGAGACGGACATTTTGAACCTTGAAAGTGACTGTGAGTCTGAAAAGTTCATAGCTGCTAGATCCCTCACTTGCTGCCAGATGTACTTTAGGAGATGTACCCTGAATCCATGGCAGTACTTTGTGGAGGAGAAGATGACTACCAACTGAAGCATGAGCCCAATCCCTGGCTTGGCTTGCTAGAAGATAATAGGCCTTGAGGGAGACAATGCAGAGTCAAGGTTAAAGATGAAATACCATTTAGCAGTTCTGAAAACTGCTTCATATTATGAGGTTTTAAGTATCAGTCTCCTATTAGAGTATAATATCAGTTATAATTTGCTACTACATGTCTAAATCTTTGTTAATAAATTCTTATGAGTCACTTGTGTTAAGCATTTCTTTTATGTAGAGAAAATAAATAGCTGTCCTCTGCCTAATTTACATTGTACATTTAGTACCTTTCTAAATCTAAATTAGCCAGCTAGACAAATCTAAATTTTAAGTAGTTTTTCCTGGGGCCCTGGAGTGTGAAAAAGCCAGAGAACTGGCCTGCCAAAAGCGTCTGACTTCTCTGATTCAGGGGTTAGACTACCTCAGGCTTGAAATCAGTTTTTGTGTCAGTTAATAGTGGGTCAATTTAGAATTTATTAAATGCTTACTGTGTCAGGCACTATGCTTTGTGAAATCTAGCGGAGAGGTCTCTTTGTGAGAAAGGGAGAGAGGAGTAGTCTAGTCTCAGTGGTTGTGTGCGTGAATTTGGGATGAGGACTGTGTTTAAAAAAAATGTACCCTATTTGGTGGGAATGTAAAATTTCAACTGGGGAAATGTGTAACCCTGGTTGGTCTGGGCATGTCCAAATCTCCTACCATGGAGTTACCTTGAAGGGTCTTTGGAGCATGTCCAGATTGCCTATCATGGAGGCTTTAGCTGCCTGTTCTTTTTCTGCTGTACTCTGCTGCATCTGGAGGGTAAAGATCACAGTTCATCCACAGTGAGGACACCATGAACTGAACTAGTGAGAAGGGAAGTCTTTTCCTTCCCCTGCTCCCCTTCTTTTACCCTAGCTCCGAGGAATGGGTCTGGGAGGTGTTTGTTTCTCTTCTGTGTTATCTGTCCTCCTCAGTTTCAGGTACCCAGGGTGATCCCCACCAGACCATGAGTTTGAGACATGGAGCCAGACTTGTAGGTGAGGTGGCTCAGCCTGCCAACATCATAGAAGCCCTGAGAAGCTGGAGTGCCCGGGATTTGAGTGTAAGGTGGGTTTTGGATTGGAACTATGGGAACTGAACTAAAATATGAAACTAATTCTCTTCCCCTTCACAGTGACTGAGGTGGTCCAGGGTATTACCTCCTGAAGCAGCCCATTCAAATTTTGGGTAGCTTTTATTGTTAAGAAGTTCTTCCTGATATCAAGTCTAAATTTGCCTCTGTATAACTCTTGTTCTTATTCTGTACTTTGGCAATAAGCAGAATAAACCCAATTCCCTTTCTGTGTGACAAACATTCAAATAACTAAAGACTGGTGTTATTCTTTTTCTCCAGGCTAACGCATCGCCAGTTCTTTCAGCGTATCCTCATATGGCATGGTCTTGAGCTTCTTCACTATCCTGATCACCCTCCTCCTGATGCTCTTTGGATGACCAATTTCCTTATTAAAAAAATTAAAATATTAAAATATGCTTAGGATGAAATGTAATACTTCAGATGTGTTTTAATCAGGTCATAGCAGAGTGGGTTTATAACCTTCCTCATTCTGCAAGTGATGTTTCTTTCTCTCTCTCTCTCTTTCTCTCTGGCAGTCAGGGTTAAGTGACTTATGCAGGGTCACACAGTTAGTAAGTGTCTGAGGCTTCATTTGAACTCAGGTCCTCCTGACTGCAGCTTCCATGCTCTATCCACTGTGCCACCTAGCTGCCTTGGAAGTGATGTCTCTTATAAGCAGCTGGTTAATACAGTAGATAGAGCACTGGACCTGGAATCCTGCAGGAGGACCTGAGTTCAAATGAAGCCTCAGACACTAGGTGTGTGGCCCTGGATATGTCACTTAACCTTTGTCTGCCTCAATTTCCTCATCTGTAAAATAATGATAATAACAGCACAGGGTTGTTGTGAAGATAAAATGATATAGTACTTATACAGTGCTTTGTAAATCTTAAAGCTCTATGTGAATGCTAACTATTGTTATTTTAATATGGCATTAGTTTTTTTGGCTGCTATATCACACTGTGGACCCACCTTAAGTTTATAGTTCGTTACAACCCTCAGATTTTTTCCCCCCAGATGAACAGTAGCTTAACCATGCCTCTTCTATCTCATATTTGTGAAGGTAATTTCTTTGAACCCAATTATGAGATTACATTTGGCCTTGTTAAATTTCATCTTAGTAAATTAAAGCAAGTATTATTAGATTTTAGCCTGCTGAGATCCCTTTGGGTGCTGATTCTATCAGCCAACATATTCCTCTGATTTTTGTGTCATCTTGCAATTTTGTTATCAAAAGTAACCCTGTGGAGGGAGTGTGATCAAAAGTAATCAATTCAATTTAACAAGGCTAGAGGATTAATAAGACTGATTTAGTTAATCCAATAAGCATTTATTATGTCTTATCTCTATTTGCCAGGGACTGTGCTAGTCTGGAAAATATAAGAGAAAAGCCTCAATAATAAAAGGAAGGGGGCCTTTGTTCTAGCTTTGAAGATATTTTCCTGTACAAGAAGTGATCATCCCCATTGACACCTATTTTGATTTTTGATTACTTCTCCTTGATAACTGAATAAATACCCTTTTCCTGGGTGTTTGTAAGCCTATTACCTGGGCTATAACTATCATAGATCTGAAAAGAAGCCCTGAATTTCACCTTCAAAAGGGAATGGCTAAATGGAGAATTTTAAGAGAACTGCAAATTAAAGCAATTCTGAGATTTCATCTCATATTATGCAACTGTAAAAAGATGACAAAAAAGAGGAATAGTCAATATTAAAAGGAATATGGGAAGATAGGCACATATACACTAATGCACTTTGTGGAGCTGTGAATTAGTCCAGCTTCAGGATATTAATTTGGAAGTATGCAAATAGAATGATTACACTATCAATTTTCTTTGACCCATTGATCACATTACAGCATGTATACCTCAAAGAAAACAAAGACAGAAACAAAGGTTTTTACATAGCAAAATATTCACAGTAGCACTCTTTGTGGTAGCAAAGAAATGGAAACAAAGCCCATTGATTGGAAATTGTCTGAAAAATCCATGGTGGAAGAATGTAAGGGAATATTACTAAGCTATAAGACATGATGTAAATGCTTCTTGAAGTGATGAAGAGTGAAATAAGAACCCAAAGATTAACATACACAACAATTATGGCAATATAAATTAAAAGATCACTTAACAGACATTGACTCTAAATAACTGAAAAACCAATGAAGGATCTAAAGAACAGATAATTAAATTTACTTCCCTTTTAACAGTAGAGAGGAGAGGGATTACTTAGAAGGATTTTGTATACATGGGTAGCTGCTGTTACAATGTTGGATTTTTTTCTCTTACTTTTTTTTTCTTTGTCAGAAGAGGATTTAACCTGGAAGAGAAGAAAGGTTTAAAAAAATGTTAAATGAGATGGAAAAAATAGCTAATCAACTAAACAAATAATCAAAGTTGGGGATAGGGGAAGGGAGGGATTTGGTAATGGGAGCTAAGAGAGCTGAGCATGTAAAGACAAGATAAAAAAAGATGTTAAGCGCAGAGAATGAACTTGAGCGTCTATGGAGGGGAAGTTTGTTTAATCAAATTGCCCTTCCATGGAAACCTCCTAGTTCCAGAATGTGGTAATGGATTAAGAATTTTTATGAGATATCCATGGTCTTTAGGTTTGTAGGAAGGGGCTTTCTCTTCTTAAAAAGAAGTATTATTGATGATTGTTGCATAGCCAATAAAACTTTAACTTTTGCAATGTCTTCCATAATGCTTGGTCTCTAGTTCTGTCTCTTATAACTAATGGGTTTAGCTGACTTTTCAAGGGCAATTTGTCTGTCATCTCTCTAAGCTAACAGAACTCTGAAACTGACAAAAACTCTCAGTTGTATTCATTAGAACACACCCTCATAAACAATTTTTCTAATGATTCATTAGCTTACTCTTTAAATTTCTCTGTAACCTCCACATTTATTTGTTAGTAAAAGCCTTCTCATACTCTGACTCTCCTATAGATAACTAATAGCTAGTAATTTATAACATAACATAACATAACATAACATGACATGACATGACATGACATGACATGACACGACACGACACGACACGACACGACACAAACAATATAATATAATATAATATAATATAATATAATATAATATAATATAATATAATATAATATAATATAATATAATATAATATAATATAATATAATATAATATAATATATAACATAATTATAAACATTTGTATTGGACAGCTAGATGGCTCAGTGGATAGAGTGCTAGCTAGGCCTGGAGTCAGGAAGACCCGAGTTCAAATCCAACCACAGACATTTACTATGGTGTGACCTTAATCCACTGGAGAAAGAAGTGGCAAACCATTCCAGTATCTCTGCCAAGAGATACTCCATGGATTCATGAAGAGTTAAGACATCACTGAATAAATGAAAAAATAACAACAAATATTTATATAGTGCTTACTGTCACTTTACAGTGATCTCATTGAGTCTCACTACAACCCTGGGAGGTAGGTGCTATTATCCCTATTTTATAGATGAAGAAACTGAGGCAAACAGAAGTTAAGTGACTTGTCTTGGTTCAATCAGCTACAAAAAGATCTATTCTCCACCCCAATCCTGTCTGAGTAGAACACAATGGTCCAGAATTCACCTAGATTACATGGTTAGGGTGGGGTGAATTCTTTGGGCAAGATCAGAAATATACTTAAGACACTGGACTTTGAATGAGGGAAGTGGATCCTAGATATAAAATTGGTTATTAATATAACAAGAAAATAATCATTTTTCTTAATTTGAATTTCCTTAATTGTACCATAAAATGCAATAAAAATTATATTACTAATAACAAAGGATAAAATACCTAAGGTAAAGAAAGTAGATATTTTATCTGAATCACTAGCATGGCATTTGGCCATCTTAGGCTAGAAAGATATTCCTATAAGGCAATGGGGATCTTTCTAAAGCCTCTAATGCTAGCCCTCCATAGGCTGAGCCTTTTAGGTCTCCATTTCCAAGTAAGTCCAGCCAATGATGATGCCAAGAATGGCCTTCTTGCCCTCTTAAAAGGAAATCATCCCAGCTTCTATAAAACAAATGCCCCTTTTACCACAAGGGGAAGGGCTTATCATCTTGTTAGTCATATTATCCTTTGAAAAGTATGATAGTAGCTTCAGGAATTACATATCACTATAAGGCACCTGAACCTCTCAAGACTTTAAAACTCTTGAGTCTTTAAGGTAGTCACCAAATTGAAACGTCTAATTCAATGTTTGGTTACCTGTGCTTAGGGAAAGAAACACAAAAAAGAAGAGGCAGCCAGAGACCTGAGGCTTTCACAGAAAACTTCAGGCTCCTTTAGACAGTACATATTCTAATTGAGATGTGTGAGCAATTTTTCCTTGAGACGTAGGGAGGAGAGGAGAATTGGGTTTGTTGTTCCAGTAAGTCCAAGAGAGATCTGCTGGAGTCCCAAGCCATAGGAGAGAGGAAGAAGAGAGCAATACTAGAAGTTCTCTCTTGTGGCAGCTAGGTAGAGCAGTGGATAGAGCACTGGCCCTGGAGTCAGGAGAACCTGAGTTCAAATAGGGCCTCAGACACATAATATTCACTAGCTGTATGACTCTGGGCAAGTCACTTAACCTCCAATTGCCTCACCAAAAAAAAAAATTCTCTTTCCCTTTAAGGTCTACTAAGTGGGCAGCACTTGCTAGTCATTAGCCAATCTCCCTGATGCAGCTTCCATCTGCATCCCCATACTACAGTGGGGCATGTGGGGAACAGAAACCTTTGGTTATACATGCCCCTAATGAAGAGGCCAAACAAATTTCTCATAAGAAGGGGCCAGTTGCATACTCAGCCCTATACGTGCTCTATGATAATTCCCAAAGTCCCATTCTCTGGGATGGCCATTGTTATCCTGGCATAAGGTAGAGTGTGAGTAAATGCTTGGAGGTGGAAATTCATGTATAATTAATAGAGATTGGCAAATAATCTGGTTTAGTTAGAGTATAGACAATGTGGAGGGAAAGAATAGGAGATAATGCTGCAGAGGTAGGGTTAGATCAAACTGTGGGGGACCTTTGAATGCCAAGTTAAAGATTTTCAAACTTTTCTTTTTTTTTATTAATGTATTTTGATTTATCAATAATCACTTCCATATGCTTTTAAAATTTTTTCTCCCCCTTCCTCCGTACCACCCTCCCCAAGACGGCACACAATCTAATACGGGCTATACATTTACATTCCTATTAAACATATTTTCACATTAGTGATGTTGTAAGTAAAAATTAAAACCAATAGGAGGAACCATCAGAAAGAGAAAACAAAACTCAACAGAAGAAAAAAAAATAGCAATTCAACTTCCATAGTTCTTTCTTTGGATGTAGACAGCATTTTTCATCATGAGGCCTCTGGAGATGTCTTAGACCCTTGTATTGCTGGGAAGGGTTAAGTTTATCCATAGTAGTCATTGCACAACATGGCTGTTATTGTGTACAATGTTCTTTTGGTTCTGCTCACTTCACTCAGCATCAGACCATACAAGTCTTTCCAGGTTTTTCTGAAGTCAGCCTATTC